AATTTTAATATTTCTTGCTCCACTTTTTAAATACAATATTTTTTAAAAATGCATAAAAAAGATTCAAGACCTTATATTTTAAAGTAGAGAAATAGTACATAATTAAAATTTTTTTAAAAAAAAATTATATAATAAAAAATAATTCTTCCTCCTACCTTTCAACTGCTTTGCCTGCAAACTTTACATTCAATTTTAATATTTCTTGCTCCACTTTTTAAATACAGTACGTTATGTACATATCAAGTTGCTACGCCCAATTTTATTGTTGCTCGGCAAAGGGAGAGCACATTCAATGGATAGGCGACATATATTCTTCTGAATTCTGAAATCAGATTATACAACTTACAAGGGATGTCCAAAAATTAGTTGGGATATAAATGAGGAAATAAAATTTTAATTATTATTCGGACGGATGCACTGGGCCCTGGCCAATACCATCAACGTCCAGGGCACAGGAAGATTTATTATCCTGCCAGGCATTGCTGACCCACCTTGATAAGTAGTAGCCGATTAGCGGTGGGTAACAGGTCGGGTTCAATCAATTACTGCCTTCGGCCCATAATAATTATTGTTTTTTAATTTTAAAATTTTTTTATTTGTTATTTTTAAAAATAAGTAATAAAAAATTTTATTTTAACTTTATTATTTATTTATTTTAATTAATTATTCTATTACCAAAAAAAATTTACTTTATTTTTTAAAATTTTTAAAAAAAGTAATATAAATAAATACATAAATTGTTTTTAAGTTTTTTTTTTTTGAACATATTTGTAAGGGGCGGGTTTCGAACCCAGGCCGGGAATGGGGGAATGCACCGGGGTGGCTATTGCCACTAGGCCTCAAGGGCTAGGTGCAATTATTTTGTTTTTAAGTTTTTAATTTAAATAAAAAGTTAGAAAATTATAATTGTTTTAAGATAGATGGAGTAATTAAGTTTATATGAACTTTAAAATTTGATCAAAGAAAAATATTACAATTATTACTCAATAATTACTTCTTAATATGTTCCTTTGAATAGACAAACTCAAAAACTTAATCAGTGTAGAGATTTATAAAAAAAGAAAACAATTGTTATCTTCAAATTGTAGACAAATTTGTTAAGAATTAGTAACTTTTAATTTTTATCCTTAAAATTTTATGGTTTTATTTTAACATGTATCCTAAATATATATGTTAAGAGTGTTGAAATAATAAAAAGTAACATTTAATTTGTTAATTGTTTAGTTAAATTTATTCACGTAGTATTGATTTTAAAATTAATATTTACTTTTATATTTTCTTATAGAAATTTATTATAAATATGTGCTTTTTAGAGTACTTGTTAAAAAAATCCAAATTTCACTATAAGAAAATCCATTTTTAGTGACTAATAATTTAGTCACTATACCTTTATTTTTCATTACAAACTAAAGTTAGTAATGAAATTTAAATCAGTAGTAAAACCCTTGTCACTAATGCTCTTAGTGACGAATTTGACATCTGTCACAAAAAATTTTTTTATAATGATGAAAAAAAATCTTATAATGATGAAAAATATCTACATTATTAATGAGTTATTTATAACAAATTTAGTTATCATAAAAAAATATTTTTTGTTACAATAATTTTCATCACAAATGTTACAATTGAGTGACAAAAAAATAATCACAAATGCAATTGTGATGAAAATTTTAGTTATTAATTATTAAAATTGATGTTAAATCAAAAAGATATTTATATAATTATAACACAAATACTGAAACAAAAATTATGTTACAAAAAAATCGATATATAAATTTATCATAAAAGTTTAATAAAAAAATATTATTATTTCAACACTAATCAATTTTGATTAAAATTAATCAAACCTGATTAAAATTAATCAAGCCCAAATTAAGTTCAAGTTTTATTAAACTTCACATGTTTTATAGAGCAAAACTTTATTTTCTTAAATATTTTTTATCAATGTGAGATGTATTTATAGGGTAAAACTTTATTTTTTTATGTGTTTTTTATTGATATGAGATATATTGATTAGAGAAAACTTAAATAAGGCTGAATTGTAGTGATGATTTTTATCATCACAAGTATGTATTCTTTTTGTGACAATTTTTAGTGATGAAATATATTTTAAATGATGAATTATTTAGTCATCATTGAATGTGTAAGGTATATATGATCAATATTTGAAATTTGTCTTAATTGGGATGAGTTATGATGATAATTTTTATTGTTACAAACTTATTTTTTATTTGTGATAATTTTTCAATGATGAAATATCTTTTTAATGATAAATTCATTTATTATTATTGAATATACTTACATTTGTGATTATTTTTTAAATTTTGTCACAAATGTAATGAGTTATAATATTGATTTCAACATTCGTCACAATCTTTTCTCACTAAAAATCTCATTTCTTGTAGTGTTTGATTTAGGTACACTTGTCTAACTAAAACCCACATTATCACTAAACTTTAATTTGTGGTAATATTGTATTCCAAGTTTTGTTTTAATTGAAGACATTCATATTCAACTGATACAATGACAAACCGGTAATTGAGTAAGGGAAATGTTTTTTTTTTATTATTATTTATTTTATTTTAATAAGGGAGTGAGATTCGAATTTCACACTTTTTATATACTTAAAATTACCCTTATCATATGATAGGTAGCCACCCGCTACAGAAGATTTTTAAAGGGAAATGTCACTTTTTAAAAACTTGAAATAGACATTATTTCATATAAAAAAAATGCCAGTATATGGCCTACACACAACCCATAAATTAATGTACTTGGACACGCTACATAACATAAGTATCCCAAATTTAATTCCTATATATATATATATATATATATATATTTCTTTAACATCAAGTAACCCTAACATCTTAACTCAGAATCAAGACCTTGTGAGGCACACGTTGAAATAATTAAACTCTAATTAAGCTTCATTCAACAAGAGATAAGATCAAGAATGTGTTTTTATTATTTTTTAAACAAACACAAATTGCAAAAAATGGAGAGAATTAAACCAACATTATGCTCATAGAATTACACTTTAAAAATAAGGTGTATTAAATATATTTTTTATTATAAATTTACATTAAAAAATAAATATTAATTTATTAACTATCTAACTAAATTCATTTAACACTAAAATTAATAATAATTTATGTTATATATATTTATAATAAAAATATATATTTAGTATATTATTAACTTATATCTAAAGGTACAAATTAAAAATTTTCAAAAATTAATTATTAACTAGTCGGCACACAGAGTCAGGTGCGGAATGTGTTTTAATTTAATAGCACATAGTTTTCTATAATTAATTGTAGTCATCTTGATGGGTTAAATTAATTGAAGTGATTTTGGCTCTTTTTGCATCTCAGCTTCAGTCCAATAAAGCGACTACTAATGGTATATACAGATATACTTATGGGTCAAGCTTGTGAAATTAATGCATGGGGCCAGGATGGATAACGTAGCTGCCGGTTCTAAGAGCCAATGGATACATCAGATCCTAAAAATCCCACCAACTCCTGCATGTTTTCCAGTGCTTCACTACAATTTATGCCGCACGGATAAACATGCATGTCTTTGTTCAGAAGTTCAAACTGAAATTGACTACGGAAAAGGATTGAAAATGAAAAAAGTAATACTACTAGTATTATCTTTTACACCAAATTTGGAGTCTCTTTCTTCAACATAAAAATTATTTTTTTCTAAAAATTTCTTAAGGATAAGAGAAAGCAAGGACATGGGATTATATTGGAATTGATTGTATAATCCATAGAAAGTAATTTGCATTCGGCTTAAAATTTTAAATTTTTACTTAAAAAAAGCTTGTTTATAAGCAAATAATTAAAACTAAATGGGTTAATTAAATCATAAATGAAAATGCCACCCAAAGGCCAAAAGTTTGAAAATTTCCATTAATTATTGCGGTTCAAATCTAGCTGTAAAGATTTCCAATCAAAAAAAGGCAGTAAAGATTTGAGATGGTGTATGATTAATTTGCAGGGAGGATTGATGTAAACATCTTGAATAATTAAATGTCATGTGAAAGTGGTGGTTGTAGGAGCAGTGCAGAATATAAGATATTCGGATTAATGGAGGATCTTGTGATGAGACCTAGCAGTGTTTATCAGATAATTAAACAACACTTCCGTTTTCAAAACTACCCCCATATCAAAATTTAAAGATATAGAAACCTCTCCAATGTCCAATTAATTGGAGAAAATTTCTTTTATTCCCCTTTTTTTTTTTAAAAAAAAAGAAGGTTAACTCCGACTTTGAATTGCAAAAACGTTGGTAACATTTTTATTTTTATTTTGCAAAATGAAATCAGTTATAAGGCAGAAGCTATTTAGTAAAAAAAAATGTGTAATTCCACTTAGAAGATATTAGATAGAAGTGGTGGGTGTTTCTGTTGAAGCACATGCATTGCGCACCAGCTGCCTGTGCCTTAAAATCTTATACTATTTCACCATACAAAATATAATATATGAAGATGAGGATATATTTTATAGATGATGAAGATCTAAAACAGATGATTTTGTTCCTTTGTTCCCATACAATTAGACACACCCTGCGTCCTAAAAGTTAGATCAGATTTCCTCAACACTCCATCTCAGCCCTACACTTGGCCAACCACATCATCTGGACTAATGCATATTCCCCAGGGGCAATTTTTAGCTTACCGGTCAACCTCGCCATCATAATGCCTCTGAAAATCAATAAATTACTGATATCTAATTTTCATATAGGGTATTTATAATATGTATAATAATAGTAGTATATATTAAAGATGTATTTATTATATTTTTTGTTATTAATTTATATAAAAAATTATATTTTTTATTTTTAATATTAATATCACATAAAATAATTTAATTAAATAATTGATAAAATTTAAGTTATTTTTTTATTTTTTAATGTAAATTAATAATAAAAATATAATAATTATATACTTAACATTTACCTTACAAAATTTCCTTTTATAAATTGCTGTTAATTAATTAATCAATTTGCATGAAAAATTAATTTCTTCTTTTAATGGAGAGATAATAAGTACTACTACAATTGAAGATAAATGAGATCAACTGATGAAATGGGAAAAGAAAACGACCTTCACAAGGAAGTCAACATCCTGTTTCCCCCAGTCTGCAATTGAAACCCTAGCTAGTTCCCAGCTTTCTTTTGGAGAAGACATAGTTTAGACTAGGGTTTCCGAATTCCGACAACAGTCGCCAGAAGAATCTCATTAAAGTGATAAAAACCAACAAACAATCAACCAACGATTGTGTTTTCAACATAAGCATCTTAATTACCACAATCATGTTAAAAAAAATAGCATCTTACCAGTTACAACAACCTTAAATCATCAACTTCCTTTCTCTCTTGGGAAGATTACTTCTTAAAAGAAAATATGCATGCTTGTCCACCCCTGTCAAACATTAACTTCAGGCTTGGCTTGGTTATGCTCATAATACAACTTACATAATCAATACAAGTACCAATTACAGAACTAATCTCCATGACGATGATGGATTGTGGTTTAAACACTAAAACTACTTTAGCCATTTCAAACGAGTTTCTTAAATGCTAAAAAAATAAAAAATAATAAAAAATAAAAAAGGGGTAAGAGATCGAGATAAATTTGTGCTAAATTTTCAAGGATTCCTAAAGGCTTAATTATAAGACATCAGTTCGTTCGGTTCAGTCCTTAATTTTTACCCTTAATTAACTTAATTATAAAGAAAAAAAGAGATCAGATTAGGGGAATATATATATATATAATCCCGCAGTGAAGAAGACTTAATTAATTAATGGTAAACAGATTTAATACTACCATCAAACATAGTTTATATTTACACAGATTCGAGTATGGGATACAAATTTGAGTAGGTGAAAAAGAGGGAGTACAGTGCATGCTTAACAAAAAACTCTTTGAGTGCAAGAAAGGACATGTTATGACTCGGATCAACGAAGTACGGTCAAACCAGCACCTCAACCAGATGTAATTTCGTCCTTACAAAGACATCCACCATGGTATAATCCGAGACAAATACACAGAAACAGATAAACGGACTAGAAACTTAAAAGACAAAAGAGAGAGATTGAAAAAAGGAAAAAGTAAAAAAGGAAAGAAGAAGAAGAAGATAGAAGCCATGGAAAAAGCTTTCGAGTTTCAAAGGCAAACTAATTAATGTTTTCCCAGATGTAATATATGAAAGTTAAAATATTACCTACAGCTGCGGCCTGCGGGGAGGATAAGATCATACCTTCATCAAAGCATAAACTGAAGCAGAGATGCATATATATATATATAGTCTGAAGAAGCCATAGAACTCAGGATAGATAGCGCCAGGCACTAATATAATTCATTTAACTAAATTTCATGGCGCTATCCCTCCTGAGCTTTACAGATTCTCCCATACTTGTTACTACATAATAAGAGTATACTCTAGGGAGCTCTGGAATGTTACATCTCAGAGCTAGGTATCTCAAATTGTGAGGGAGAAAGGTAGTGGGGCTAAGGGGATTTATAAGGGGAGAAATGGGAGCATGAGTCGTCTTCTATTGGAGCATTACTATTTAACCATTTTTTAACAAACTAATTAATGGTGTTTGTTTTGTGTGGAGGGACGGTTTTCCTTTAATTAATTTCTCTTTTTTGATTTGATACTATACTTTTTTTTTTCCTCCTTACTTTATACGCTTGCCGACTACGTTATTGATTAGGTAGTGGACTTGACTTGAGGGTTATACCTTTGCATATACAGAAAACAAGCATAATTCACTCCACTATTGCAGCTTGGCGCCGGGGGCAAACCCTAATTTCTCCATTTCTTTATTCAGTAATGCTATCATGAAGCAAGCCTCATTGTTGCCCCTTATGGACTCTTGATGGGCATCAATACAAGTACCATCTCCCATCATCATCATCTCTTTTATACCTTTTCCACTCTGATTTAATTAGTTATCAAAATCTGACTTAATAAAAAAAATTAATTTAAAATATTTTTTATTTTTAGTTTCCCATTTTGAATGTACCGTTTTTTCGTCAAATTGATAAATATAACCTTGGTTTCAACAATTATAAAAATTTAATCTTAAATATTGAATTTAATAGTAAACAAGTATTATCTTATAAATTAAGTTTAAATTAAAAATAATATTTAAAAATTAATTTTTTTAAATACATTAAATTAAAAAATAAACTTTTAAAATTATTTGAAAAGAATTACTCTTTAAGTACATAAAATCTGATCTAAAGACCTCGACTGTCACAAAAAAAATATAAAAATTGTATTTATTCTTAGAATTGAATATATAATGTATAGACTGAATTCTTGATTCAGTTTGTTTCAAAGACTATTTACTGACTTTTTTTTCTTTTTTCTTCTGACGGCAACTATTACTGTTTTCTCAACGGATATTGAACAAGACTATGCATATTATTTGTTTACTGATAATATATATATATATTTGAACTTAAGGAATTTTTAAGATGAGAAATTAGTAGTATTTGAATATAAAACTTAGAATTTTATATCTTAATATCTTTCATTAAAGAGATATGGCCACTAGGCCACTTAATATTGGACATATATACTAATGATTTGGGGTAACTTTCTAAGGCAGTTTTTTTCCTTTACAAGTTTTTGATAGAAAAAGAAGCAGTGTATCGTACTACGAGCATTCGAATTTAATTGTTTAGTTTAATTCTGCAAGTATTTTAAAGTAATTGTTTTTATATACTATAAAAAGTAATTGAATTTTTTTGATAATAATAAAAAATAACTTAATTGCAATATCTTTATATAAAAAAATTAAATTAGTATCAAATTTATAGAGAAAAATAACAATCCAAACGTTTTTAAACTTTAAATGTAAAAAAATTTTATAAAATTATTTAAATACTATTATTGAATTTTTTTGTGCATTGATTCATTAAAAGTATTTTAATATTTTTATTATTATTCTTAATATTTTAATTGTCATGACATTTTAATTTTTCTCAATCCATTTTGTATATTTATAAAAAAAATATAATAATTATCTAAACATAAATGTGTTGTTAAACAAATATCATTAAATTAAGAGTTTTTTAAATTTATATCTTAATTGCATAAATTAAAAGTGTAGTTAAAATATACTATTTAACTATTAAATTACATAAAAAATATAATTTTAATTTTAATAATTAATTAATTAATTAAATTAATACACATAATATTAATATTA